TCTGTTCTGTACCCGTGCATAATAGGCATAACTTGGAATGCTTCACCAAGCTATAAGAGATGGGTACTTGAGACGTCATAGAGAAATGGGGTATCGGGAACGTTATGGAGACCGACTACTGGCTCGACGGTTGAAGGCGAGCGGCTGAGAATTTCACTCTGACGAGCAAAATGTCGGTGTAATCTCGTACTTAGGAAGCTCGTGTCAAGCTTTTGACGACCATGTAAGGATCAAGGTTGGATCAAGATTATTCAGGGGCACTGTCTGGAGTATGCGAAGAGTCGTAAGGCACTTCCAACCATACCATGAACTTCTGCTTAGCGTTTTGGCGGCCTGTTGTTATCATGTAGAATTGGACCTCATGGGTCTTGATACCTTCCCTTGATAGACAGCCTGTTTCTGAATTAGAAGCTGTCGCTTGTGAAGATCGGAAAAGGAAAGTGTCTTCCATACCCAACTCTTCTTGACGCCCAAACCACTTCAGGAGCATCCCTACATAATGTAAACATTAAAGTAGTAGTTAGGGAACAAAACGTTGCCGCAACGTAGAATGCACTGTTTGATAGTACACAAATTTTTCAGCCCCTCTGCAGAAGGACCGTTTGACATGGAATGGCTTTCAACTCTTTTACCGACCCCCTGTCTCGTATGTTTGGCATCAAACATCATTAAAACGTCACCCACAGTTCTTTAAACTGAAGAAAGAAATCGGAATAGGACATGCCCGGATTAAGATTGTCATCACATAAACCTGTCGGCAAATATGTATTGCTGCGGCTTGCATCAGAACTGTTTCGTTGGTTCGAGAACAGTGCCAGCGCCTCTACATGCTTCTTCTTCTTCCTTTTACGGTACTTGTGTTATCTAGGCTTTTTTCCTTTGTGTCTAGACTTCTCAGAAAGCAATTTGCAGGTCTACTCTCTGGATCGATTTGTTAGCTGTTCAATCGGACACACTGAGACAATTGTAAACTCTTCGAAGCCGTACTTTTGACGCACTGACATGACCCCCACCTTTGTCCGCGGGGCTCCCCCTCACTCTCTCTTCCGTCGACTTTCTCTGTGGGATTAGTGAGACATTCTGCGAGGAGATGAACAGCACAAAATACGATTTCTATGGATAATAAGTTTATGATAGAAGTCCTCCTTGCTGTTAAAGGCAGCTTTTTGGAATCATCCGTTCATGCTGCCTGGAAGCTTCGGGGTCTCACTCAGGTATCCGCTAAGGTCATTCGGCATTCAAAGAAGTGGAGCATCGTGAAATTAGATGGTGTGGTGACGCAAGGGCCTGGGAAATATTAAAGGCACCGTTCACGATAAATTTAGGGTACCCTTCTTTGACGGAAATTCATAGAATACTCTAGAATAAAGCGATAACAACGAAAAAAGCGCAAAAAACGATGAACAAAAAGAATTACAAAGGGACAAAAAAAGAGCTGGAAAGGGGGTTGGACGAGTTTCACATTGGAAGAACGGCGGTTAAGGGAGTGTTTGGGCGAGTGCACGAAGGCGACGCAATGTCTGCAGTAGACAACACACCCAAGCAGACACATTGCTCCAATGCGAATGTGGTGAAGGACAATTAGGACTCGTAGTCAGCCTAGCGAGGGCGGAGGTCTCCCGTCCCCGACTGTTCCTGCCCTTATAGTGCCCTATCCAGACCGTTTTCCCACCTCATTCCTGCACAAATGGTAACAGATGGGTGTCGAATTCAAGCCATGTGCAGAACTCCGAAACCATTTTTTCGTGAACAGTGCCTTTGAAAGTGGAAAGCCGAAGGAAATGTCGCGGTCCGATTAAAAGAGCTGGTAAGCTGAGCCTGAGCACTGTTCCTACAATAATATTCAATGAGTCAAATATAATGAAAAAACAAATCGTTGTTCTCAACTCTGCGTGCGTCAAGGGTTTCTCTGCAGGGAGGTAGCATTTGAATCAAAAAATACGGGAGGAGCCTAGCCATGCCTTCAAGTCTCATTTCTTTGGAATTGACATCGACAGGTCACTTCATTCCAGTTCTTGAATCCGTTGTAAATCACATCAGTCTGTTCTCTACTCGCTCCATCTCCGGCCGTACATTTCTCTGTCCCTTCCCATTAGAGACTATCATTAACTGGATCCATCACATGATACGATGCGGATAGAGCAGATGTGACGACAAGCGAGACCAATTCCCAAGGTTCAATTGCCCACCGGGAAAGTTTTGCACGAGGATGATCAATGTACGAGGCGACATCACAGGATTAAAGCCATTGAAATACTGCAAGCAGCATGGTGAAGCAGCTGCTTAAGTTTTTTAGCTTTGAAAGGGAGAGTGGCTTTTTCTCTTCTGCTTTGTTCGGAGACCAGAATATGAGAAGCATATGCTTCCGAGCAGAAAATTTTTGAGGAGTTAGGAAAGTTGAGGGCATCTAAGCTGGTTCTGCTGCTTATTACTTAACCCAAAAGTGAAAGAGAATCTTCAAGAAAAACAGAAGGCAGTGAGGTCTGAGATTCATTTCTTCCCCCGAGGTGATTACTGTTCACTCAGCAGTTCCGGAAAGTACCTGCTCCTCAAACTATCCGGTCTCTAATTACCTTTGCCTGCTCTCTCTGAGCCAGTGAATTTTGCAAGTTCAACCAGGATGATATATGCTGCTGAAGGTCCGATGAGCCGACGGGCATTCGGCACAGCAGGACCGAGCCTACATCCCTTCGTTGGAGGGAGTGCTGGCTCGGCCCTGCTGAGCCGAATTGCCCGCCGGCCCATCGGATCAGCAGCATATATCATCCTGGTTGAGCGAAATTCACTGGCTCGGAGAGAACAGGCAAAGCTAAATAGAGAGCGGATAGTTTAAGGAGTAGAAGGTGCCTTCTGGTACTGATGAGTGAATACCAACCACGTCGAAGAAAGAAATGAATTTCAGGCCCTCCGTTCTTCTTTCAACTTCACGTGAAACTTTGAATAGAGACCTAGGTATACGAGGGTTGCCTTTTATATTTCTGGATTTGGAAACACTAGTGTAGCAATCTAGCAACTGACACCACTATCGTAAAGTTTGACTATTTTGAGGTTCCGTTGCAAAATTTGAGCGCGATTTGTGTTGTTTACACTAAGTTATAAGATTTTGTTTCGGCCAAATAATGGAGTTGAACCGTGGGCATTTTCGCGCGACAACTTTCGACGTGGCTTAACTCAACAGCAATGCATGGATGAACTTGGTTCAATTTTTAGGGATGAAGCTCCATCAAGGATCAGTACTTATCGATGG